AGTAATGAAATACCAACATTGGGGTTGCAAGTTCAGCCATTTCCAGAGCCATATTTACATACAACATTAGCTGCATTTTTTCCAAGCACGTACTTGTCAATTGATGCTTTTGAACAGTATTTATTGTATCCAACACTCCTGTCCCCGTGCACACGTCTGATCTTGTGTGTCTGTTTCACTTGTGGCAAATAAATTTAAGTTTGGTTTGTTGTTTTGGGGGTTTTTTTTAAGCCAGAAAGAAAAGAGATTATTCAACATTCAAGATGTCCAAAGGAAAGGGAAATCCTGTATCTGTGACTTTCTTTTTCTGTGTTGCAAGTATCAATATTAAGATTCTGGTATTTTAGATAAACCAGCTGAACATCTGTTGTTTTATTTATAAATCTGAGTAGCCTTAAGGAAAAAGAATGTTTTCAAGTATTTCTCATACTTGCATATCCTGTATATTAATTGTTTACTTTTGTACTTGTAGCTTGGTATGTAATAACATTGCTAAAATATGGGCAATGTTCAGGTCACCCTAAGTATATGATGTATTATCACATTTGTGGATTAAAAATGTGTGATTACTGCCCTTTTTGTTTCCTTTTGATTTATTTATTCTACTATGCAATGTAAACTGAAATTAAGCAGTAAGAGGACGGAATTTCTGTACTCTGTTTTGTCACCTTCAACTTTTGCAACCTTAATGCTCTTTGATAACCAGATTTTGCGGAGGTAGGAGGTATGCAGATAGACAGTTTAAGAGAAAACTGGAATTCCACATTTCTGTTGCATCACACATGCACAACACAAGGATGCATTGCCAGCAAAGGAAATTTCTGTTTTTCCTCAAAGTTCTCAAGCACTTGGGCTAACAAACCATGCTGGTTTGATGTGCTTAGTAGTGTGGTTCAGTCAGCAGGCTCCAAAACTCCCTCCCAAGCCACGTGGAGGAAATGGCACAATGTTTTTGCCTTCGGGTACCAGCCTCTCCCCAGGCTCAGCCTGAGCAGTGCTTAGAAGATACACGGGCAGCCTGTATCAGGGCCAGAGATGATGGAACATGCCAAGATCTAGCTCTCTACCAAGCACCTTCTTGCAAGTTTTCCATGATATATTTAGCTCAGTTTAGCTAAATGTGATTTAAGTTAGGCAGAAGACACATCCCTGACAGATTTCAAATGCTGATGCTAGAACCTACTAGAATGTTTTAACAGGCAAGCATATATTCTCCTGTCCTTATTCCCAGAAAAGGCAAACTGTTTTGGCTGAAAGAGCTCAGGATTTGCAAATGACGCACATGGCAGTTAGACAAGAAGCAATCAAAGATTGGCACAATGAGAAAACTGCCAAATACCTTAAAATGAAACTTTAAAGCAATCTTAGTAAGTGGTGTTTCAAGACACACTGCTGGTAAAACATTGCTGTCAGGTTAACTTTATGAATCATATAATGACAGGACACAATATTCTTTACCTCATCACTGCCAACTTTATGTAATAAAGTTAAACGGAAAAATGTTAATGTTTGAGAAGCTCTCAAGGGATTGACCACTTCTGGCATCCTAATGAAATAGTACATGTACCACAGAACAGTACATTGCACTGGACATGTATTTGTGTAAGAGAAACATTCTCACAGAAAGGCACATAAATAGCTGACCCCGAAGAGAACCAAGAGGTAAAGCACAATTAACTCTTATCACAGCAACAGAAATGCAAAAGCAAGTCTTAACTGGATGACTTAAGCAGGTCTACATCCATTCTCACATGCTATGATGCATACATACCTCAATGTCAGAAAAAGACAACACAGTCATATCTACACAGAAAAGATAATACAGCTTTTATGCTGAAAAACTACTCATGTGACTCTATAGGAGATAACTACCTTTCCAATATTTAGAAACCACCAGGCAATGTCATTCATAAGCTATTTGCAAGTACAGGAAAACCTCAGGATAGTGCCATCCGTTAGAAAAATTTATTCTCTCTGGTTCTTACAGGATGAGAAGGTGTTGGGAATACCTAGCAGAAAGCAATATAACACAACAGGAGATTTGATCTGAGTTTAGGAAAACATACTGCATCATACTGCCATGTTGCACTTCCACCCATTTTCCTACTGAAATATTTGTTTCATTAAAAATATCTGAAAATACTTGAGGTAAGGGGGGAGAATCTCACAAAATGGTTGAAATATGGATCCAATACAATCACTTCACTCCAGAGTGTCCAGAACTCCAAGATGCCCATGGCACAGAGCAGTAAAACAGCAGTATCTCCTGGTACCTAGGGTTTTGGTCCAAAATGCTGTTAACCTGCTAGTTCAGAAAGGTCAGTATATACTCTGCGTGGCCTCTGGTTGCCTCTTGAAAGTAAACTCCCTCATGCTAACTGGATTATGTGTTCACTTCCTTCCAGCCTCCTTCTACGCATCTTATTTCCCCTTCCCTGAAAACAGCTTAATCCTTCAAGATCTAGTAAGTTACAAAGAAAAGTAAATGGGAACACAACAGAAGATATTATCTGAAGGATTTTCAACACAGAACTAGATGAAAGAATATTCCTTTGTATAATTACTTACGCAGCTATATGTCATTTTAGAGACAACTGGATGATGGATCAAGATCAGAGGGATTCCCAGCACTGAATTGCTGAGGTTCTCAGGGGCCTAAGCTCCCTGCACCGGCCAGAACTGCAGTGTAGTGCACACACACATTACACACCGACAGCCATGCCATACAAGACAGCCTCACAATTTAGACCAGGGCTGCAACCACCTTCAATTCAGCAATTGGATCCAACTTCCAACTCCTTCTCAATACTATAGCAAATGGTGTGTTATGTTAGCATCAGACTTGAAAAAAAAAAATGCCATTGCTGTCAACTATGAATAACAAGACACCCCAAAGTCTCCTGCCTAAAACCAAATCCCATAATCTGGCAATATTCCAAAAAGTATCAGATAATGTGAGCTGGCACACAGAATGTTGTTCAAAAGATCTAAAGTGTACTCTTTCACTCCTTTTATACTTCCAGCTGAGACACAGGACATTTAAATCACCAATGGATTCAAGACTTCTGCAGTGTTACATTCTTCATTGCTGTTCAAATACAAAGAGAAACAATTAAAATACAACCTAGTTCTTAATATGCAGAAACACTGCTACATGTGATAGCAAAGAACATTTAATAAGTATCAAGCCTTTTTTTTTTTTTAAATGAAACTGAATTTTATTAAGCTACAAGAAATGCAAAGATGGTGATAGGTTAAGAAAAATATTTGCTGGGCAATCTAAAAATAAAGACTGGCACAGGTACAATTCCCTGCAAATCCCTTCATGTGATGTTACCATAAAGCTCTCCCAAACTACATACTGACAGCTTAACACACATTATTCATACAGTGAAAAAGGTTATAAAGAACATTACATGAACAGTAGAGGGTATTACTGTCTTTTGTTGTTCTTTTCAAACACTAGGACACTGAACAGCTCATTGCTGAAATGGTTCAAATGCATAGGCCAGAAACAGGTACTTCTATTATAGTCCATATGATTACAAAAGTCCAATTGCATAACACAAGTCTGATTTACCAGCAGGGAAATTATTCCACTATAAATCAGTTTTCATTTATATAAACTGTCTTCGAATGCCAAGTAAATATTAAAGTATGCAGAGCATTAAGTATATTTACAGGTTCAGTGCACTTTAAATTCCTTAACAAGAGGGTACTGAAACAGCAATAAAAAAAGGAGCTTTGCTTATATGATTGTACTTGTGATAACACAAGTGGCTTGACTTAAAAAAAAAAAAAAATCACACAAGAAAAAAGAAACTATCAGCACATTAACATTCTTATGATTTCATGAACACTTACCAAAACATTCGCAAAGTAACGGAATATTTTATTTTCCTTTACAACCAGTGCTTATCAGGTGAGAATCAGTAACACTGAAACATAACAATTTCCTTTTTAATATTAAACACACAGAGGAGAGAATTCTGCTGTAGAATCCATTTATACCATGTCTGAATGGTGTGTACAATCTTTGATGTTTGTAAATAAAAGACATAACCAGTAATAAATAAATAATATTAAACGATATTAAAGTTTTCACTTAGCATCTAAATAAATTAAGATTGCTGGATTTTCAGGACTACAAGGTTATTTCAGGAAGAAAAGCAGACAATCTAAACAGACACATTTATGATGTATGCTGCTCTGATTGAGATCTCTTACGCCTTACTGCAGTTCCTAGCCATGCACACACAATACAGCCACATCTGTGCAAGTCAAAGTTTTGAAGAGTCACACTGAGGCTATAAATAATTAGAAGTAAAAATACATGTGAGTTTTCATGGACAGAGATATTGGCCAGATTAAATTTACAGGATCGACTGGAGAGCAATGAACATGTCCACTAGCCAACTATCAACGAGCCAACACGCCCACAGCCAACTGCCCTCAGCTCAGTCATCTCAGACTTGGTCCACATGAAACTTAATTTTAGACATGCACAAATATTCAGTGATTGTCACAGACCCCTAAGGAAAGAGAAAGTGACTGAAACATGGGGCAGGAAGAACTGCAGACAGGAACTAACCTGAAGGGCCTTAGATCATCCCCCATGAGATGCCTTCATACAATTTCACATGCCTGCCTCCTATCAAAAACCTATTTGATATTACCACTTAAACAGTAAATACCAAAGCTCATGGGAAGTGCGTTGCTCACTGAAATCTTTTACTTATTTCCAAAACAGGCATTTGTTGCTACATAAGTTACTTTATACAGCCACCAATATGGGTCTTGTTGCCAGCAGTGCTTAAAAATAGCTTTAGAAAAATTATCAAAATAAAGTTAGATGATCCTGATAACTGATCAAGACTGACTTCATAATGGAGATGTTTTCTTTAAAAATCATAAAGTAGTTGCTATGAGGAATAATTGTTGGCATCTATAAAAGCTGCATAATAAAAATAAATACTTTTCATCATTTACAACAAAATTAAGAAATATACATTTCACTTAAACAGGTAACAATACTTTAATGGATTACTTGTTAGTCACTGTACAGTCCTGAGCATGTTTTTGCAGGCGTAACTTAGGTCATCATTCTTCCCCTACAAGTCCATATGACATATGCCAGCTTGAAGAAAACTTAATACTTCTGTGAAGTATCTTAATTTAGCTTTGGTAGTTATCTGTGCAACTGTATAAATCTTTTATTTGCTTTTCACACACCAAATGGATTAAGGCAGGCACTATTGTTATTAGGATTCCTCCATCACCTTTTGACACTGATAAAGCAAACCATCTGGAAGAGCAGAACAAGGCGATCTGAACCACAAAGCCAGCATCCCTGAGTGAGTACGACAGTGCAGCAGACAGGGCACAGATGGAAGCAGCTGGCATGCCAGTATTCCCTCATTACCTTAAAACAGAGACCACAGAAAAAATGAAATAACAATTAGCAAGTAACAATAGCTATAGTATAGTTCACAAAAACTGTATCTTTCTCTCAAACTCCATTTCTGCTATTCTCTTCTACTCTTACCCCTAATCCTCTAACACGTCACCAAAACCCAAGCCTCCTGCATGCAATCCCAGCTTCATATTTCTCATATAGCTTCATTCTCATTAGTTTGGCCTGTCCAAAACTCTTCAGTGCAACAAGTTTGCTCCCTTGTAAAATTTACCGTTTGCTGTACACTTGTACCTTTACATTAATCTTCACATAAGACGATGAGTAAGGCAAATGAAGTCCATAGGACAATGCTCCTGTGTTCACTATGTCCTTAAATATTCCCTGCCTTAAACAGTAAGATACCTGCTTCCATGCACTTACTTTCATGGGACAAATTACAGGTTGTAAGCAATCTTAACAGCATACTTTCACTTACCTATAATATCAACTATATGGAGTTTCAGCTTCTGTTGCAATGTATTCAGAGCTGCTGAAAGGGAATCTTGAGAAGGTGACATTTTAATATTCTGTTTCACATCATTGGAAAGGGACAGCCACAGCTTCCCAAAGTCTTCTGTAGTCATTTCCATTGGCCTAAAAATAAGTTCACCACATACCTTAGCAAAATAAGATACATTATTCAGAATATATTTGGTCTCCCAAAAAACTGTATCTGGAAACAACTGGACAACAGAACGAGCAATAAGTAAATACAGATTACTTAAAACAAACTCCTCCTCTTCCCAGCTTAACATTTAAAAAAAAGTTTCTATTCTTTGCTTTAGACTTCTAAATTTAAAAAAAAATACATTATTCTATGTAAATTAAAGACCAAAGTGAATGGCCTTGAGATATTTGCCCACTGAAAGAGACAAAAGGAGTTCAATGAGAGGTAGACTTTACTATGGAAAACAAGGTGGATTGCACTATAAAGCAGAAAAGTCTATTGGAGAAAGAACACTTGCTTTTTCTATTCCCAAAATAAATGCAGTGTTCAAAAATAAATAGAATGAGCTTTCTTCTTCCCCTGCAAAAGCTGTCAGCCTTTTCATATTATATATGGGTCTCTGTACTCAAGTAACTTATTTCAGTTTGACATGTTTATATTATGCCATATTTTAAAACAGCATGCCCTTCTGTTCACTCAGTTCTGTTAGCCTCCTCAAAAATGCCTTCTGTAGTTCAAGACTATTCTATGGTCAATATTCTGACTGGATTTGTACTTCTTCCTGGAACTTTTCTCCTTTTTTTCTAAGTGTATAAATAACCATTTACTATATTTAACAGTCATCTCAATTAGATTAAAAGTAGTTGCTCAAGATGAAGCCTTATGTTTTCATAATCAATACCCAAATCATCCTGCCCTGGTCTAATACTTATTTGAGTACACACGTTTTTAAAAACTGCAGTTTATATTATTTACCTGATGAAGTCCAACAATGATAAAGTTACTGAAAATTCAAGGCAAGTTTCCATCTGTGACTGGTAATTAATGGAGCCAGAAAGAATTCCCTGTGTACAGATTTTGTCCATCCACACGCATTTCTGGCAACATTCCACACTTTGAGCTTCAATTACAGGAAACTGGTAGGTGAGACTCTCCAAAATCTACATAATTTTTTTAAAGGAATATAGAATATAAGTCTTGCTGTCAAGTTGTGTAAGTGGCTAAGACACAGCTATAAAATTGTATAAATACCTTTTATTTCAATTGATTTTTCTTTGACTATTGGCAAGCAAACAGACCCACCATTTCTCAGCTCTCACTGAGGATAAATCAATCGCTAACAACTACAAAAGTTCTATTTCTGCCAATTGTCTTCCCTCCCCTACCCCTTAACGATTGCTCAGAGAGACAAGAGAACTGGTGGCCAAGAACCTGAATTCTGTAGTTCAGTCCAAAAATAGACTAATATACAAGAACAATAAACACTGCAGCATACCCCAAGCTATATGCTAGAAGCAGAAAGCTGAGAAATCATCCCTAATAACAAGGGCAATTTCAAGATTACTCAGCAGTCCCCAGCCTCTCCAAACAAACTTGTAACACAGATTTTATCTGTGGTAGTGGTCCGCGTAGAAATCTAAGTGAATTACAAGGCAAAACTAGACACGAGATGCTCATTTTCTATCAGTATCATGACAGGTTTGATTCAAGCCAGAAATGGGAAGGAAGGAGACTTCACAGACAATTAGCAGCTCTTTGATTGAGTCAATTCTAAAAGATCCATTCTGCTTAATTCTTTGTCCAGTTATCACTTGTCTCCAGTTTCATAATTCTGTACTTCTTTCAGCAAAATCTGTGGGTGGTCATGCCAATAGGCATTTCCTAAATAGCTTTCCAATTACTTAAGTTTCAATCAAGACTATTACATGCTTTACCAATCACAGTTAAATCTCAGATGTAGCTGATGTCAAAAAATTAACTGATCAACTCCTCTCCAACAGAAACTGAAAGCATGAGAACAAGAATGAAATGTCTTTGAACATGATGATGATGTCTGATTGAAAAAAATCCTGATGTCTTTGAGAAAAAAAACAAAACAAAAAACAAACACGCAAAAACCCACCAAACCCCAGAACCTGAAGCAAGCTTACATAATTTTATGTGAAGGAAGAAACTGCATCATGTCTACCTATCAGATAAATACAAATGAACGCACAAGTCTATGACACAGAGGGGAAAAAAAGTTACACAGTGATTTCTTTGGCAACCCAAAGTCATACCATTCTGAGTACCACTGCTTAGGTTTGCATTCAGTCTTAAACATCAGGGAGAAGGTTAATTCAGAACTGAAAATTCATACATATTTGTTATATGGAGGCAAGAAGCAGAAAATGAAATCAAGGTGAATTTTAAAAAGCGAGATAGTATCATTTGGTATAAAAGTTAGCAAGTTTAGTATTGAGATTTCCTCATTACCCTTAAAGATGTAATAGCCATACCACAGGTTTTAAGGAAAAGCTTTGGGAAAAAAGTTTGGCTATTACATTAAACCAAATAGCGCACACTCAAATGCAAGCAAAAAGCAGGAAGTTCCAAGTGAATTTGAAATATAATGGAAACAAAGCTTCTTACCTGAAAATGTTCTGCTTCTTCAAACACTAAGTTCACAGCATTAAGTGCAGAAGTGGTTTTATTTGAAATAAAAACAGCAAGCAACAAAGAGTCATCTGTCCACACCTTATATAAATACACAGCTAAGACATCACTCTGACAAAGTTCCACTACTTCAGAGTGAGCAAGCTCCTCTAGATCTTCTGGTAAGGAAGGGATCAACGCTGCTTTACTGGCACTTTCACATTTAGCACTTGGAGAAGGGTGAAAAATTTCAATATTACTATCAGCAAACAAAGATGACTCCAACAGTCTATCTGAAGGTCTGTCATCCAGCCCAGATTTTTTTAGGGACTGAGGTGTTTCAAATGCTAAATTATCTTCCACAATATCTGAAGAACACAGAGAGGCCTTCCTTAGCCTTGTGTGTATATTTCCTTCACAGTCTTCCATGTTAATAGGTACTGTATCAAGCAAGGGACCAAAATCAAAAGCAGCACTATTGTGGAAGTCTGATTCCTCCTCCCTATTTTGAGTTTCATTTATCTTTGATTTTCTTTTGAACTTCTGAGTAGCCATGTCCACTTTTCCCATCTGAAAAGGAAAAAAAAAAAAAAAAAATCACAATGGGAGGGGAAGTTTCTAGCAACCAGCTGTGTTACTGCTAACAGAATGAAACAGAGTAAGCAAGGACAAATAATGACCAACGAATCAATTCAGATGACAAATAGATTCCAAACATTTTAATGGATCCAGTAACAGGCTTTTGTTGTATTCCTTAGCCTATAACACAAGAATGATTCTAGGTTCTCCAAAACATAAACTAAAAGCTCTTACTAAAAAGCAAACACATGTAAACATTTTCTGGTTAAACCAGTGATAAATGCCAAGATTTGAGCTGGCTAATACAATAATGCCAGTCTTAAAGAATTCATTATTAGGTAATCTTTTTAATGTTCCACATATTACCATACATAAATAAAAAATGGTCTTGATATAGGGCATCAAACTCTAGGCCTTCTGCCAAACGAATTGCAACAGCTCTGCAAAGGTGGACCAAGGAACAATTGTTAAGGAAAACAGACTAAAAAAAGACTTCCACAACAGGAAAACTGAAGGAGAATCTGGTTACCTAATTAGATCTGCTCCAGAGGCTGCATGATCAAGTAATATGCAACCCTTTTCGGGTTCTTAACGAGTTACCAGATTACAAAAGTAATTTTCAACAGTTTTTCAATTACTTGGGTTTTTTTGCCTAGTTTTACCACAACACTAATTTGATCTCCATTTGCATATAAATATCTGGAATTAGAAAGAAGGTAATATATAAACTTCAAACTGATAAGCCACAAAAGAACCACTTACCAAACTGACACCAGCATTTGATCCTAGCCCAATAAACAAAGTTGATGCTAACTGCTGCTTCTCTTTGTCTTCCTCAGAGAGGCTGGCAACTTGATCAGACTGTGATGCAGGAGGATCACCCACCTGTCCTGCTAATAAGCCACCACAAGAAAGAATTTGTGGTTCATTTTCTTTCCCTGCTTTGCTTTCCTTCTTTGGTAGATAGCCTTCTTTTCCCCATAGCTTGCGTACTCCCTCAAGTTTCAGAGTATTTGTCCTAAAAAGGCAAACAAAACAAAGCAGGATCAATCATATGAACATGACATTCATAAAACATTCGTAAACACCGTTCACAACTTTGGTACTTTAATAAAACATGACATTCATAAAAACATGCCAACACTCTAAACACCGTTCACAACTTTGGTACTTTAATATACACAGTGACTAGTGGAATATAAACAAACACTCTTCCATCTGCATGGAGCTCTATGTTAGTAATATCACTCATTATTTTTAAAACACACTACAAATGTAAACTTGGATTAGACTGTATAGTCCTAAGTATAGATCTCTGCTAAGTCAGCATTAGACACCTGCAGTCAGTAGTAGACTGTCTGCCAACTCCATCCAGAGTTTCAGATTATATTTATAAAGGTTGGGTTTTTTTAACTGAAGACAAGCAACATGGTATGTACCCTTTTCCCCAGGAGAAAGATTCTGGGAATCTCTAAGTATATTTAAATAGTTCTATTGCTGATTCCTTAAAAAATAATTTAAGTTAATATAAGAGACTGAAAATAGAAGAAATATGCAAAATACTAGAAAGTATTTTTATTTCTTATGAAGAGAGCTCATGTTCTCAGACACCCAGAACTCTAGCAGAAGTTAATTCAACAGACACAGGCTAAATGCTGCAAGTCCTACACCTAAAAGCCTCACTCAGATTTTCTTACACAAACTGATTAAAGAATCTGAACAAGCTTCCAAGGTTTCCTGCATACCAGTTTACTACAGTATAAATAAAGTTATTAATTTGTATGGAACTATGGATATGGCATTTATTTGTAGCATTCTAAAATTTAAGGAGTATCTTACACTGCAAATCTTAGCCTTACTTTTATCTAAAAAAGTTTCCTTAAAAGGCACATTGTTGTAAGCCCATAAAAAGTAAGCGTAGCCTGTAAGAAAGACAACAGAGAAAAAATATTTAACCATGTAATCATGAGGTAATCCTGTCCCAATTTCACTGCATTAACTATCACTTTGTACTTTGTGAAGAATGTGGAAAAAACTGGTCTAATTGCATTCGTAATTGCATTAGCTTTTTTCCTAGTTATTTCAAAGAAGATGTCACCCTGAATTTCTTCTTACATGACAGAGGTTTCCAAGTTCAACTGTATTCTTTTTAGTTCCATGTAATGAAGAAGCAGAGACATGTGATACTGACAAGAAAAGAAGAGTAAATGTACTTCATTTAAAACACAAATTAACTCACTCTTTACGCCCTGTTTCAGCACTATTACCAGACATATCAGAACCAAAAGATAAACCAGTGGGGGACTGTCTGCCAGTGATGCCAGATGAGGACACACTTGAAGCAAATGACAAGCCATAAGGTTCAAAGTTCAGAGCTGCAAGACAGACAGAATTTTAAAATTACAATGAGGTATAAACAGGCAAGAAATAAATCTATTTTCTAAAAATAGATATGCTGTACTGCTGCACATCTCAGGCTTCTCATTCAGAATCCTATACTCATTAAAAATGGATGTTTCTGTTCGCAAATAAGTTTTTTAGACACACAGAGGATTTATCTAAAAAACACAGTATTTTGTTTTAAATACTGGAACTAAACAGAAATAGTGACTTTAAAGCATATCAGTAAAATATCTGCCAATACTTAGTATTTGTAAAGAGTACCATATTGGATCTAAGTGAGCTTTTCCATTTGTTCATGAGCCTAAATAACATTTTGAGTCTACAGCATTATGTCCATACATCACTGTCTGCTTTGCAAACATACTTGACATCTTGGGTGACAAATCATTTTCACTGAGACTTGCAAATCAGGATTCAGAACCAGCCACCTTAACTATGCTTTACGAATCAAAATGCAGTTTGAATAGCTTCCAAAAATTGTTTTGGACTACAATAAATAGTCATTGTTACATAAGAAGCAGAGTACAGACTCTCCTTTGCAGCCCTGGAGCTATCAAGGGGTACAGTCCCTTTCCCCTACCTCCACCCAGAGTGCTAAATGGATGTTCTTCAGCAGTAAAGACCATTAATTTCACTCTCAACACCTCAGTATGAAGCATTATTATGAGCTCAATTTGACCTACAGTAGATTGTATCCCTCATTAGACTTTGCATGCATGAAAAAAATAGTACAGAATATTCATATTTGACCTTATTTAAACATTTCTCCAACAAAATTTTGAATTTTCTTGCAGGCTAGGTGGAAGCTGTAGATGTAATACTCTCAATTTATAATTATCTCAGAAAAGTGTTAAATTCTGCCAAGCTACACATGCAAGCAAGTGGGCAATACTGTTACTTGTATGCACTAATCTGCACAGTCAAAATCTTCTTTTAAAAATAATACCATAATTGTAGATAATACAGTGTACAAGACTCATTTTTCTAATTCTGCAATAGTAAAGCAACACTGAGGAATGTTTTAGAAAAGCTTTCTAGCCTCAAAGTGAATTGTTCAGCAGTGTCTAAAAGAAATCCTTATGTGACTGGCTATAATAAACTAGTATTTCCATGGGAAAAAAAAAAGTAAAAATAAAAACCACTATAGGTAAAGTTTTGGGGTATTTTAAAATGAATAAAAGCAGATACTGCTGTCTTATCGGTAACTACACTAGGTCAGAAATGTTAGATTAGTGTCATAAAATTTGCAAATGCATTAAGACAATATTACTTAAAGAAATAATAGCAACTGTACACTTAGATTATTTGTTAATACTTACCAGGTAATTTACCAGCTATTTAATAAATGCAGTAAACTAATAGTCACCTTTTTCCTGAGAAAGTTTCTCCTCTTGTCTCTGGTGATGAGGTTTATATGGTGCTGCACCACGACCAAGTCCCTCAGCCACAAACCCATCCAGAAAAGATAAGGAAGCATCTACCTACAGAGAAGAATATTGTGTCTTACAAGCAAATCAGGATCTTCTGTCTCACTTCTCCCATATCTAACAGTAAAGCTGCTATATTAACAGAAATTGTTAATTAAGTAACAAACAGACTTTGAGACAGATATTTGTAACTTAACTCCTCTGCTAATGATCTTTTTGTCTAAACAAGAAAAAAAATAGAGTGGAGTTTTCACAAAAATGGTTGATCTTGCTGTTATATGAAAATACAGAATCGAAAAAAACTCTCACATACCTCCGCAATATCAATACTATTTTCCATCAGTTTTTATGGACATTTCAGTGCAAAGATCAGCAATTTCTAAACAGGAAGCAAATCCTTTGAATTAAAAAGCAGTAACATATCACTAAAGCAGGCCTAACTTGTCTTTAAAAAGAGACAAAAAAAATTAATTCACGTATGGAATAATAATTTTGTTAAAAGCTACTCCAGCTTACTACCTAAACATCATGGCTCTTTATCTCTCAGTATAGAACATTATGATTCATCACACATGCCTGAAAAGATATATTTCTGAAAATTCACTTCAAGCAGACTAAAGACTGGCACCAGCCAGAACTGTCAATCATCATTAATTCAGAAAATAGACTTTACCATAAACTCAACCACCCGAACTACAAAAAGGTTCATGAAGAACATACATTGCAGCTGTCTTACCACCATGTCATTGCAACTAGCATCAAATGGAAGCAAGTTTTTCATCAGTGCTTTGTCTTCACACAGATGCTTCAATTCAAAGGCATATTGTCTCATGCAGGTATCTAGAGAGTTGCTGAATTCTTGGATTAGGTCATCGACTGTTTTAGAACAGGAGGTACGCGATGCTATCTTGGTGACTGCAGCCATTATCCACGCTTTAGTTTCAGAAGTCACAAAAGTTTTCTTCAGCAGGCTGTGTAGCTTTGTCAAAATAACTTCTGGATCAACATCAGTAACAAGGTGGGAATATTCCCCCAAAACCTATTCACAAAGGACAGACAAAATTTACAAAGCAGTGCCTTCAGCTTTGAAATTAGAATGCAGTACTAAATAACAACACAATAAAATCCACCTCACATTCAAGAAGCTATTATTTAAACATGTTCTAAATTATTCCTTTACCATTTTGTGTTTTAAAAGCCAAAGTCTTGAGATTATTTTTGTGTTTACCTTAGCAAACTCCAACTTTTAGCTTCTTAAAAATCAAGCAGTTCTCTTGAAAAGAAAGCTAAACATAGCAATTAGTACCTTATAAACCATGATTTGCTCATACTGCAGCCTCCTCCTTGGGTGGAAGCTGAAGCTTACCCAGGTGCCAGACAACACTAGCATAGCACTTGCCCACTTACCTGCAAGGTTAAAAATGCATTTCATAACCACATCTGGCCTAATTCTGATGAAGACAGAAAGGATCTCGGCATGCAGTGAGATTCATGTGGCTGCTAAGCCATTACCAATAGTCACTTGCCTTAAAGGAAGCAAATCTGCTTTTCCACAAACTATGACAAGCTAAATAGTCCTCAGGCACCAAAAGAAGTCACTAAAAATAGATTTCAGTACATTACCTTGACTTCAAGTGAAAAACAGAATATTAATGACGAAAAATGAAAGTTAAAAATATTTAAAACATCACCATCTCTGTGTATTCAGTTCTGGCCATGTGTCTACCTTACCCAACTCATAACTTGAAGGAATTTCTGTGGATACAATGCATCTTCCTCATCAAGTAATGCTAAATAAGACTGTACTGCATACATCCGTAGCTGATCATCTTGTTTTCCATCATCAAATCCTAGATAAAAAACAATACATACTTTGTCTGAAACTCAAATAACACCTCCCATCAAATATTTCAAATAGCATTTTAAGAAAAAAAGCCAGATGATTAAGAGACCCATATAATTCTTCAGAGCATTCGGGGAGTTACTCACCTTCAGCCAACAACTTCAGGAAGTTGTTTGGGATATCAGGATGCACAACGTCACCTCCAACTGAAAACACAGCATTCATGGTTTGGATGAACCACTCGTTGTCAGGGGCATACGTGTCCAGATGTTAAGGAATGAAGTGCTAAGGGATAACTTTCTTTTTTAGAGTGTTTCCTAAGGAAACAAGTTCTCCACAAATAAGCTACCCATCTTGCTCTCCCCAATAAGCTGGGGGCCTGATGGTCAAGTATGAGTTCAATCTAACTGAGGAGGAAATATTCCTTTATCTTTTATAAAGTGTTTCCTGTAAACTTCATGAAAACTGGTGATTAGGTGGAGAAGTCTGAAGTTACTGCCCAGTTAAAAAAGCCTGCACGTGAACTTAACAGCTATACATTATGTGCAGTTTGCTGGCTTGTCAATTAATACATCTTAAGTTGTGCAGGAATAAATGTTAGAGTAAAAAAATAAGAGTTTAAATAGATTTCACACAGTAGGAACAGACATGTTCACAAAAACTTAGCTGTGGAAACCTGTCCTACTGTATTTTAAGTTCATACTTGTTCCATGCTAGTTTTCCAGCATAATCTTTTGAGTTTGTTTACCCAATATCACTTGATCAATGATACACTAGCTGTTTTTTTCAGTACTGTTTTGCTGTTGATTTAGTGAAAAATAATAAACATTTTGAAGTACCTCACAGAAAGCAACTTTATATATATATATATATATCACGTAAATCCTGAAAATGCACTTACTGAATAGAAATTTTCAACAGTGCAGAAACATTATTGTCTTATTTTTGCATACTGCATGACAACATACCTTTTTTTTGTACACTACTCTCTACGCCAAGCAGTGTACAAACAGGATGGTAATGCAGCACTCTGTTAAAAAGAGCTTACAATTCAAATTACCAGACAAGAATACACACAGAAAATCAGGCAATGGCAAGTCTGACAGCAATGTCTACCATATGCCAAACACCTAAATCATCACTTTCATCTTTTTGACACAGCTAAATAATCTTTTATTTATTTCTATGAAAACATGTTAATTCTTAAAATCCATACACCAACAAGTTGTTCTCTGGTAGGAAAATAATTCCCACAATTACAGAACAGCACTCAGCGTAGCACTGAGGCATCTCTTTCCATGCAGTGGTGTTAAGACTTCAGGGCTTTAATTTATAGAATCATAGAATGGTTTGGGT